AAAAAAACAAAAAAAACAAAACCACAGAAAAGACATTCTCCCGGGTCCCTTTAAGCTGTGGCATTTCTGAGGTTTTGCTCATTCACCTGTGTGAATAAGCTGGGCTGGATCCCAGCCTCATGCTTGGCAGTGGCAGCTCTGTAGCCAGCAGGTACTGCAGAGGAAAATGGAGCGAACCTGGCCTGTGATGCTCAGCCTCACTGCAGTTTCTTCTCCCCTCATGTAACGAATGTTGGGGCATCTGTCCTCTCTCCTGAGGCAAAGGAGGCTCCCTCTTTGGAGCAGGGGCCAAAGTGAGGCGGGGCTGGGCTGGAATGTCGAGTGGCCACCACGGACTTGGACACTCCTGGAGCCCAACCTGTCTCCATGTCAGGTTAATGTTTTTACCAACTCTCTGGCCATGTCCTTGCCAAGGCTGCTATTGGTTGTTGGTCTCAACTGGGATTAGGAGTGCCAGCTCTGTCAAGATTATAACTGAGAATCTGGACTTGCCCAGTCTTAACCCAGTTTGTGAACAAACCCCAGGGTCAGAGGGGAGGGGCCTGACGTAATCTCTGAGGCTCTGAAAACATAAGCTCTGCCAGGGAAAGTTACCGAGGCGGAAGGTGGAGGTTCTCTCTTTTACTGTGCAGACAGCAGAAGCTGGCGCAGGAGCTGAGACATCATGTTCCTCCCTGCTTCCCAGAGCCCGGCTTGGCCCTTTCCATTTGCTTCCCACTTCCTTCCTGAGAGACTCACCATGTCAGCCACCTTCCGGCTGGCTCCAGAGGCCACATGGGAATTTGGCTGGAGACTTAAGGCACCCATTGCCCACAGACTAAGAGCATTCCCAAAATGGCTGGGGCTGTGGCGCCGTGGGAGAAAGTCAGGGAAGAGAGCTAGGCGGGGCGTCTCAGGATAAGGAATGGCTTATATGTCTGGATAAGGCATCAGGACATAGCAGTGGAGCTGATTTACAGCAGGTCTGTGGGCAAGTGGTCTTAAAGACTGAAGCAAGTCTTGGGTATGAAAATATGAAGAAGCCTGGCCTGGTGAGGCCAGGCCAGGGAGGCTGACAGTGGAGCACAGCAAGTTCAAACACAGCTCAGGCAACTTAGTGATTTAGTGAGACCCTACTTCAAAAATTAACAACAACAACAACAACAACAACAATAACTGAGAGTGTAGCTCAGTGTGAGAGCTCTGGGTTCTATCTCTAAAACTAAAAACAAAAACCAACATCTTGGAGAAGGATAGCATTGGTTTGGAGAGTGGACATTGAACTCCTCTAATGGGGACAGCCTCTGGTTCACATGGTTCTGTGCAGAAGTGAGCTCATCGTCTCTTTCAGCATTTTTATTTGTTTGCTCTTTTAGACAAAGTCTTACTATGTAAGTCCAGGCCAGCCTTGAACTTGCTGTGGAGCTCAGGATGGCCTTGAAGTCATGATCTTCCTATCTCAGCCTCCACAGTATAGGAGGCCGTCATGCCCGGGCCTCTTTTGACTTGATGGGAGACCCTGGAAGCACAGATTTGGTAGACAGCTTTCCATTTGTAGCATTCTGGCACACTGACAAAAACCTGCGGTAGGTTGGTTTGGATCCAGGCTGCGGGGGACACAGGCTGGGGCCCTTCTCCGTGTACTTCTGCATTACCAGGTCTCCATTTTCAGGCCCTGTTAGCGATCAGACCTGTCATTTCTAGCCAGTGCCTGGATTTCCACGCAGACAGGTCTTAGGCAAGGGACCTGAATTAGCTGTTTCCTCTGGCTGCCCTAACAGTTATTCGTGGCTTAAACAACATGCAGTTAGTGCTCCACAGCTGGGTGGGTTGGAAGTTTGGGAGAGATCTTGCACAGGGCACTGTTCTCGGGCTGGCCCTCTCTACTGAGGTTTCAGGAGAGAACCCTGTTCTTGCCTTTCCTGTCTTCTGGAAGCCACCTGCATCCCTTCACACCTGGACCCGTCCTTGGTAGTCAGCAGCCCGTCTAGCTGTTCTCACACTAAGTCTGTCACCACAGAAAAGGCTCTGCCCTTTCAAGGCCTCATGTTCTGGGCCCACTCAGACACCTAAGAGTTGATCTCTCCAGTGCAAGCAGCCTGGTTGGATGGGGTCTGTCCTCCAAGCTGGTGGGGCTTTATGAGGGGACAAGAAGGCAGTGTGAGCTGGACAGGGATTCAGGTTGCTCTCCTGGGACCCTGCTTAGTGTCCTTGAGATTGAGTTGTTAGTGAGTGCAAGCCTGACCTCTGCACCTCCCTCTGGCCCCCTACTTCCCCATGGCTCTCTGTGCACCACTTGCCCTCCTGCCATTACACAGTCCACTGTGTGAGACATGGACAGCCGGCCCCCAGTGGAGGCCAAGCTGCTTGGGCCATCTGATCTTGGCAGTTCAGCCTCCCAGGCTGTGAGCAGATCAAACCTCTTTTCTTTATAAGTACCAGTATCAGGTACTTTGTTATAGCAACAGGAAACAGATCCATACATCAGGAAAGGTGGCGTAGTCACAGATTCCAGGGGTTGGGCTCTGAACAGTACTCTGAAACTTTTGGATGTTTTGCCTCCTACCCTCTCCAAATGTTCTGAGGGCAGCAATCCTCCTTGGCAAACAAGGTTCATCTTCCCTATTACCTCTGCAATTCTTCTATTTTAGTTTCCTTCCCTCCTACTTTTCCCCTTCCTCCTCCATCCCTTCTTCCTCCTCCTCCCCTTCTTCCTCTCCTTCTCCCCCTCCTTCTTCTTCCTCTTTTACCTCTTCTCCCTCTTCTTCTCCTTCTCCTCCTTCCTCCTCCTCCTTCCTGTTCTCCTCCTTCTTCTTGTTCTGCTGTAGAGAATGAAATCCGGGGCCTTATACGTGCTAGGCAAGCTCCTATCACAGAGCCGCACCCCAGCCCCAAGTTTCCTTTCCTTTAAGGGCTCTGTCACTAGTAAGGAGCTTGGGTGCAGCAGCAGAGTGCCCCCTGGAGCCGAGTAATTCTGACCTGGCCACCTGTCTGGTTACAGCTCCACCGGGATGTGCTCAGAAGCAGCACTTTCCTCTCTGCTGCTGCTGCCACTCCCCGGGGGACTCCCCCGCTGGGATTGGGTGTGGGGTGAAGGATGGGGCACACATTCCTCCCCTCCCCAGAGACAGCCCAGGCTCTAGGGCTTGAGCCAACACTGCAGAGGTGGGGTTGGGGGCAGAGAGGGAGGAGAGTCTCAAGACTGACTTAGAGCCCAGTTCCGCAGTCAGTGAGAGGCACAAGCTACAACTAAGGGTCAATTTCTTCCTTAATTTCCTGGTCCCTTGCCTGGGTTCAAATGGTCCACTGCCCAAGAACAGGAGTGGGGGGATCTGGACACTGAATTTCAGTTTTGGGAGGAGAAAGCAAGGCCCACCTGTGACAGGTCTCATCCTGCATTGGCTTGGAGGGTGGGACTGAATCTACACATGTGATGACCAGGCTAAGGGCTCCCTTTGGCTCCCTTTGAAACACGCAGGTGCCTGTAGAAAAGTTGAAAGCTCTAGAAAAGACACAGAAATCCTCAGTTCACTTTATTTCCAGATATTGAAAAATCAAACCAGGCAGTGTGAGCTGGTGGGTCTGAGGGTTTGGGGGAATTGCTCTGTGGCAGTTCCTCTTCCTCCCACACCTGACACACCATACACACACACACACACACACACACACACACACACACACACACGGTGTGCACTCTTCAATGATGGAGGTGGAAGCAGAGTAAAATGATGGTTAAACACAGATTCCAGCGCCAGAGAACCCTGCTTTAAATTTCTCCTCTTCCATTTCCTATTTGTGTGTCTTTGGGCAAATTAGTTAACCTCGATTTCCCAGTTCCTAAATAATAACAATTACACAAGGTTTTCATGAAGATTAAGTGAGTACCTATAAAGACAGAAGAGTTCCTGGATCTGACTATTATATGGCTTTGCTGAATAATAAAAATATATAATCTACTGTATAGAGATAATGTGGATTTTTTTTTGGTCAAGGATACTTTAGGAGCCATATTTCCCTCCCAGAAGTTAGAATTAAACTCTCAAATTATTCATCATGAAAACAATTTGGGCACATTTGAACTGCACAAATATAGTTGTCACTGTTTAGATACACTTGTAGTAATACACTTTTTAGGATAAAACAAAGGAGGTGACAATCTACTGTCTTCTGTTCTGATCTAGTTACAGTTAGTCCTTCTGAGAGAGTGAGTTATTTCTGATTTCTGGGTTCTCTTTTCTTCTTGGCACTGGGGATGACTCCAGGAGCACTCCCCCACTGAACCGCACCACCAGACCCAAGTCTAGTTTTGATTAAGCTTGACAGCGATCGTGTTGCCAACTTCTGAGGCAAATCAGCAAAGATTAAAAGAGAAAGCAATCACACTGCCCCTCCCAACACCTCGATACTTTGGCACCAGCAACAACACGAAGTCATAAATGGAGGGCATTTAGGGCTGGGCTTGACTTAAGATTCATTTTCTGTTATCCCATCAGAATGCGGACTTCTAAAACTACAGCAATGTTAGGCAAGTGCTCTACCACTCAACTACATCCCCAGCCCTTCTTATTTTGAGACAAAGTCTCACTAAGTGGCCCAGACTAGCCTTGAGCTTTGCAATTTTCCTGCCTCGGACTCCCTAGTAGCTAGGCTTACAGGCATGTGTTCATGCCTAGTTGGATGTGGATTTGACAGAGAAATTAGGTTAGTTTTTAAAAACTAAAATTACTGAAGCATTTGAACTCGTGAATAAAGGTCTATTATAAGTTTAGGTGATGGATGCCCACGCAGATGCAGACATGAAGTTTTTGGTCCTCTTCTTCCCCCTTGTGGACTCGCTGGAAATAACAGCTCAAGATTCCCGGAGGCTCCGTAGGAACGGTGATGATGATGGAGGTGTGCCGGGTGGCAGAGGTTTACTTATCGCTGACACCAGGAGGTCAGGAACCACCTATGCCAAGCAAGGCTGGGGTTCCCTAGAGAGAGGTCTAGAACTCTTTTAATCTGTCAATGACATCAAATGGTTTCTTCTTTTCCAGTGTCTTTATTTTTCATCCAGATACCTGGATCCAGTACCAACAACGCCTGCCAGTCATGCACCTCTGCGATTCTCTTGGCCACCAGCAGCACCCATGGGCGCCATGCCAGCCGGCACACACCTGCTCGTGCCATGCTTGCTGTAGCAAGTCTGCGGGGAATCTCCCTCTGGCTTTACAGCTTTTCACATCACCCAGGTCATCTGTCTCTATGCTATGGTCTGCGCGCAACCCCACACATTTGTGCGGCTGCATCTGGGACTCCTTGCATGGGCACAGGGCAGAGACGGCCCTTTTGTTTTTGTAAGGGAAAGAGGAGAACACCTGCACACAAAGAGGGGAAGGGACCGCGTGTACCTGGGGACATCCTTCTACCTGCAGCCTGGCTCCTCCTTTCCTGGTCACACCCCTGGGCACCTGTCCCCCACACCACCCACCTTCACCTCTCACCGCTCTCACAGAGGGCAGCAGTGGCCTGGGCCTTGGCCCCAGGAGAAGACGGGCTCCTTGGGCTTTCTGCTCCCCGCCGGCTGGGCCTCTTGTCTCCAGGTGAAGCCAGGGATCCACCTGGGCCTGGCCTGACCTCCTGGCCCCTCCGCTCAGGCCTCCAGACTCTGCCGCAGCCTGCGGTCCAGGGCCAGGAGCTGCCTCAAGAAGCCCCGGTTGGGGATGATGCCTCGGTGGTCCTTGACTTTCTTGATGGCCTCCACGAGGGTGAAGCGGTGGTACAGCATGAGGTAGGCGAGCACCAGCGTGGCGGATCGGCTCACTCCCACGGCGCAGTGCACCAGGATCTTGCCTGCGAGGGGAGACACAGGAGATGGGGGGAGACTGTGGTGTGTGGCAGGAGGCTGGCGAGGGTGACACGGGCAGGTGGACAGGAAGACAGGTCAGCAGAGATAAGTGGACACATGGTGGAGGCGGGTGGGGGGGGTTGTTAAGAATGCAGGTCTGGGCTGGTGGTGGTTCAGGGTTGGCCTTAGCTTAGCATAGGCAAGGCCCTGGCTGGGTAATCCCCAGGCCTGGGGGACAAAAGATGTGGATTCCCAACAAAGCGGGGGGCGGGGGGGGAGCTCGGCAGAATGGGGTGGAGAGGGCATCAGCAGTTCAGGGTACCTAAGCCTGGAAAGGGCTGAGGGGAGGAGACTGATCACCAAAGTCAAACTAGCTTTGCACAGGGCAGGGGCCCTGCGGGCATCTTGAAGGGCATCTTGAAGTGTATGGACAGGAAACACCTTGTGTTGAGCCTGGGCTTTCTTTGGTCTTCCTCACCCCCTTGCTCATTTTTTGTTGTTTTGAAATGGGGTCTCCACAGGTTGTCCAGGGTGGTCCAGAAACCCTGGGCTTAAGCGATCCTCCTACTCCAGCCTCCTGAGTAACTGGGACTCAGGCATGTGCCACTGTACCTGGTTCCTTCAGCCTTCTATCTTGCCTTTCCCTTGGCCACTGACCGTATTCTTTATTTACATGTACAGTCATCCCTTGGTATTCAAGATGGGTGGGTTCCAAGACCCTTCGTAGATGCCAAAACCCACAGATGCTCAGGTCCCTTCCGTACCATGGAGCTGTATTTGCACTTAACATTCACACAACCTCTTGTACACTTTGTCATCCCGAGGTTATGACACCAGACACAACACAAGCTCACAAGCGCTACGTGACGGTTGTTGTCCTGTGTTGTCCAGGGAACAATGGCAAGAAATAAAACGTCTGCACAAGCTCAGTACAGACTTCTTTTTCCATATCTTTCCAATCTAAGGCTGGATGCGTGCCTGAATTCAGAACCCAAGAATACAGAGGGCCAACTGTATCTTTTTTTCTGATGACTAAAGTAGTTTTCATCATGTTTAATAATTGGAAAGTGTTGAAATAATTTAAAAAAATTTAAAAACCACAGCACCCATAATCTCACCATCTGGGTACAGCTGCCACTCTTAACACTTCTCATGATGTCCAATCTTGTCTTTTTTTGAGACAGGGTCTGGCTATGTAGTTCAGGTTAGCCTCAAAACCAAGGCCATCCTCTTGCCTCAGCCTCTTGAGTTCTGGGATTATAGGCATGCGCTACCATGCCTGGAAGTCTTGTCTTGTTTGTATGGTCTTGAAATAAAAATGATCAAGAGACAAGGAGTACCCTGCCACAGCGCTGTCCTCTCTCCCTTTTCAGCCCGGGCTTCTGAGCCCCACCCTCTTCCTCCTACCTCCTGGCTGGCTCAGCGCCCGGTGGATGAAGTCCGCAGCTGTCTGGAAGTGGATGCTCATGTCAAAGGCTGGGGAGTCGTGGGCCTCCACACCCAGGTAGCGGATCCCCAGCCCCTCATAGGCCTCGGGTATGCCCCGCCACCTGCTGTGCGAGGCGTTGAGGACATGGGTGATGCCCAGGCGTCGCAGCTCCCGACGGTTGTTGGCCATGTCCCTGTGGAGAGAGGAGGGCTTTGCTGAGGCGCTGTTGCTGCACCCCAAAGGAGGAAGGCGGAGGATGACTTGGGGCTTTCTGTTCTCTTGTTTTGTAGTACTGGGGATGGAACCTGGGACCTCTGCACTGAGCTACACTCTGGCTTTTGTTACTGTTTTAAATTTTGAGACCAGGTCTCACTAAGTGTCTAAGTTACCCAGGCTGGGCTTGAGCCTGTGATCCTCCTGCTTCATCTTCTCAGAGTGCTGGGAGTCCAGGTGTGTGCCACTGCACTTCGTTTATGATTTGGACTCTTTTCCTATGAATGGTGGTGGAGAGAACTGAGGCTCTTTTGTCTGGACGAGGGAAGACTGAATGTATGAGTGAAAATGGCCAGGGTAAAATGTTGAAGGAGCACTCTGAAGAAGCAAGGTTGTATTAAATTCCTTAAATGCAGAGCCATAAAGGCAGAACTAGGATCAAAGGATTAAAGCCACAGGGAAACACAGTTCAGTCTCAGGAATCTCGCTGAAGAGAGACTGGAGCACCTCTGGAGAGATTCTCCTGTTGCTGCTGTTCAAGCTGAGAGAGTAGTCCGATGTGAATCTATGGGGCTGCGGCAGGGGTCGGACATGGGAGCAGGAGGTGCCTGCACCTGCCCATAGTTAACATATCCCTGCTAAGGCTGAGCATGGGGCTCAGTAGTAGAGTGCGTGGGTTCCCTCCCTAGTAACAGCGACAAAAGAGTAAAACATTAAAAAAGTGTTCAGTGCCTTGTGAATCTTGAGATTATGTTTCCAATACTTCTTCCCACACCTAGTTCCCCTATTATTTTATACTGTCCTTGACATCTTCTGTTTTGCCAGTTTTTCTATGGCTCCCTTCAACCCGTTCTATAAGGTCACCCTGATGTCATCCAGCCCCCACCCCTGAGCGCACCGGCAGACACCCTCAAGCACTGTGGTCGTAGTCAGCACCCACTCTGTCTGCCGCAGGAGAAGAGCACTAAACTTGACCTTCCGGGAGTGCTGGGTCTGCTGCTTACAACCTGCATGACCTTGGGCCGGTCACAATGCCTCAGAGCTTCAGCTTCTGTAGCTGTGACCAGGGACAATGGTGCCTGCCTTGCCAGGATGCTAGGGAGCTCAAGAGGGAAAATGCATGTGACACACTCCTTGTGCACAGTAAAGCCCTTGGGGGAGAAGTTGGATTACGCTTCCTTTGAGGCCCTCTCTCCCTGGACCCCAGCTTTGCACTCTGCGGACTCTGCGGGGTGCATGGTCACCAGAGAAGCCCCTGCAGCTGCCCACCTGGTCTTTCATCTCCCAGTGACTGCCTTTTCTTAAAGCCACAGCACACCAGCTGGAAGGTCAGAGAAGTCACCTACTGTGCCTGGCCGCGAGGTAGTGCTGGCCCTCAATGCTCAGCATTTGCTACATGGGTAATATTATTCCTTGAACAGAGTTTTTCTGTCCAGAGTTGAGCATTTCAATAATCCTCTCCAAACTCCCCCAAAGCCCGGCCTCTCCTCTCTGCCCATGCGCCCCTCCCTTCAATGCTCAGCATCTGTCTGCCATCCTTCTTCACACACAAACACACACACACACACAGAGCCACAATCCCAGTCTAGTGGGTACCTACTGGTCTCCAAGGTAGAGGCCTGGCCAGACCTCGTCAGCGTGGTTACAGGCTGTCTTGCCTGTGTACAGGAGCCGCTCCAGCTCAAAGACGTTGAGGAAGGGATGCTGCACGGGTGGCATGTCCTCCAGGCTCCCTCTGGTGCGAACAGGGGACCTTGAGCTACTCCTGGAGAAGCGGGCCATGAACGTCATGGAGGCCCACAGCCAGTTCCCGGGGCACATTGTAGAGCAGGAGGAGCCGGGGCAGCTGCCGGGTGGCTGCGGGGACGACGGGGTTGGGCACCAGGTGAGCTGCTGTTGGAAGAAGAAGGGGTGCGAAACATAAGCCAGTGAGTCCTATGGCTGCTCCTCTTCCTGCCCCCTGGGCTGGGCCCGGGGGAGAAGGTGCTTGGGGCAGAGGGGTCCGGGCTGGTCCAGTGGGGTCCTCCAGGATTGCTCTCTCCATGCAGGGGCAACTCCTCCTGCTGATTTCTTTGGCTCTGCCACGCAAGGAGGTGGGAGGGTCACATGTCCTTGTTTACGGGAATAGGGAGCTGCCCAGCTGCTGGGTTTCTGCTCCGCCACTCCACCCCCACTGCTAGTGCATGCGCGCGCGCGCACACACACACACACTCGTACACTCACAGTTGTCATTTGGGTGCCTGTGCACACTCCTGGGGCCCTTGCCAGCTCGAATCTGGGTCTCATCTGCCATGGGCTCTAAGCACAGGTGTAGGGAGCTGGGCTGGGAACTGAGGTGGCTTTGGACTTGTCCAGGGAATGAGCAGGAAGGTCACCGCAGCTGGGCCCAGACACATGGCAGGCCAGCCTCCCCAGTGCCAGGGGATGGAGCGCTGTGACCTGTGCCTGCCCCGCACTCTCAGCGATCAGGTTGGCACGGGAGTGAGTGGGGTGTAGTAATAAAGGAGAAGAATGAGTTTGGGAAAAATATTTGCCAAATGCAAGTTAATGGAAGAAGACCTACTCTATGTGCACAACAGGTAAGCTGTGTTCTTCTGATCAAAACTCACCTCTCAGGTGAGAATTCTGAGCCAAAGCCGCGGTGGAGTGTGTGGCAGGGAGGGGCGGAGGCTCCGGCCAGGGCTGGCCGGAAGAGAAGGGGAAAGGAGGGGCCGGCAGCCCCTGGCCTTGGAAGGGCAGAGTCACCACCTTTGTTGCTGTGGGAATCAACAGGCCCTGCGGGAATGCGGGCTTGGAGCCAGCCCCCAAGGCTTAGTAGGTGGGCTGCGGCCTTTGGGGTTCACAGACGGGAAGCGCCCGCCTCAAAGGCAGGCATTAGGACCCCAACCCTCTCCCTCGTCACAGGGATCTATGGTCCTTCCTGTCAGGGCGGGTGGCTAAGGGCACGGAGCCCTCCCGCTCCCTTCCCTGCCTCCTGCCCAAGGGACTCTCGAGTGTCCAGCCTGAGAGGCCATTTTGGCCTCTGTGGCCCCGTCCCACCCTCTCAGCCAGGGCCAGCTCTTCCTGGGGAGAGGGGGCGATCACCAATTCACAGGCTATCAGGAGCAAGGGTTTAGGATCAGGGCCGGTGGGGGAAGATCTGACGTGCAGTGCTGAAGGAGGGAGGTTTGCAAGGGCTGGGTCAGAAGACGCCCAGAGATACAGTCTCCACCATGTCCCTTGCTCCGCAGGCCTGAAGACCCCCGGGCTCCACTCCTGAACGACCCTCTCTCCTAATGAAGATCCCGCTGCCGGAGAAGGTAAGGCAAGCAGCCGCTCCCCGTGGGGCTCCGGCCCGGGTGGGCTGGGAGCCCCGGTTCCGTCCAGACGGCCCAGGCCCCTGTCGCCCCCTCTCCGCCTCCCCGCCGCGTCGCGATCGCGGTCCGTGGCAGGTCACGGCGACAGCGCCCCTACCTGGGCGGCTCAGGCGTCCCCGAGGCCGCGGGCGGCCATGCTCCCCGCCGCCGCCGGCTTCAGCTATTTCCAGCCGCGACGCCCACTCGAAGCCAGGTTCGCCGCGGCGCGCGCGC